ACTTGTCACTAAAGGCATACACATTGACTGCAACTTGATACATTGTAACTGTGATGATTGAAATAACAGTTACAAGTTTGCTAATTTAGGGATTGCTTTTTTTGCAGCAATCAAGGAACTTCACCTCTACTTCTCCAACAAAGGAACCAAAGATTAAGGTAATTGTGTTATTTAAATAGTTTTTTGTTTATTGTAAATAAGTAAATATATATAATTTATATATGTGGTTCAGGTTCCAGTGGCGATGTTTGGGGGGGTCTGGAAACTATGCATCTACATTATATATTGCAGCTGCAAAAGCCAAAACATTGGAAAAAGTTGAAGCAGAGCTTCTTGATCTTGTTGCAGCCTCTATGAAATCTCCAACTTCTTCATAGTTCATGAAGGATTTGGCAGTGCCTGCAGATACCCAAGTCAAGGCTATGTCTCAGATCTGCGATCAGGCTAAATTTTCATAAATCACAAAGAACTTTTTAGGTATCAGGTCATTCATTTCTTTATCATATTACAACATATCATGTTTTGCAAATCTATCAACTTGTAGAAAGAATTTGAAAGTAGAATGTTGTAATAGAATGAAATGAAAGTAGGATGATTGAAACATTCAGACAAAATACCTCTAAAACACTTGTTTATGTTGCTTGTGACATAGAAAATGTAGCATGCTTCTTTTGCAGTGTGACATAGCTCAGGGGAAAAAGGTAATTTGACAGAGAAACATGATTATCTTACCATGTATGAGCAGAAGGCAAACGATCAGAGCTTCCATAAGCTTTGTGAATCTAATTGGTGGTTCTAGTCTTTGGAGTAACTTGAAATCCATTCCCAAATCCAGGGGTCACCTCCCAAACAACAACAGTAGATGGGTATAAGATCCATATGTGAAAACAGAACATACACACAGAAAATTTAACCATCCAGCTGGAGCTTGAGGTTGTTGTGAGAGAAATTTTTCTTCAAATGGGGACTTTGTAGAGCTACCAGATCTTGAGGAAAGCCACCTATACTAGTCTTCACAAAAATAAAGAAATGTCAAGGATGATTCATAGTTTGAATATAGATAACCAGAGAGTATAAGCATCATACATGAGACACCCCAGATAGCCACTTTGTTATAACTGCAATATCCTATCTCCACTCATGCTTACGTTGCCAACAACTTGCATCTTTAATCGAACTAGTTGATCTCTGTAGTATCATTAAACATGTCAATGTCAGTATCAGTCTCAGTGTCAATACCAATGTTAGTGTGTCAACCTAAAGAACTTGGCAAAATAACTTAGCCCAAACAGAAAGAATGGCTAATCTTTTCTTCAAATACTTTTTCCAGTAAAGAAAAACAAACATTAAAACCAATAGTCTTACTTTCATACAAAAACAAAAACTCACAAAAGAATGAGGTAAGCAGGAGGTAAGATGTACACAAACAGTGAAAGAAGATACTAGAAGTAAAGCAGGGAAAGCTTACATGGGAAGGCTGTGTCCAGATAGTTATTCTCCCATGAAAGTTAGCAATTAGCAAGGCACGAGGGCAAGATGAAGGTGACCATTCAATAAATTGAATTGAATCACGTGGAGAATCTGGCATAGTTATTCAATCAAAAAAATTCATGACTTAGAATAAAGATATCAGACCTGTCAGAGTAGAAGAGGAAGCATGGAGGAGAAACCCTTATAAATGCACACAGAACGTCATGGGGAAATCATTGGCAGACAAGGGGATTTGGGTTTGCTGCAGCCATGAAGAGGAAGTATGGAGCAGTTGACGGGTCGTTGGACAAGAAGGTAATAGCCACACTCTGCGTAGGGTCAAGGAGCAGAACGACAAGAAGAACGAGTACTGATGATATTACCTACGTAGGGTCAAGGAGCAGAACGATGAGAAGAGGCGGCATGTATGATGATACGATGAGCACAGAGACCACGATGGAGGCGTAAGAGTCTAAGACGACGACGGTGAGCAGAGCGATGCGATAGAGGCGCGGTCGTGATAGAGAAAAGAAATAAGGATTCAGAATAACATACGATTAGGGAAGGAAGGATGTGAAAGCATAAAAGGCAAGACCTAGGGTTCTAGTGAGCTTGCTAAAATTAAAGGGCCGGATTGAGTAAATGAAGGTAAAGTGTGTATTGAGTTTTTAAGGTTCAATGGCGGTGGCGGTGACGATGGCTTAGGGTTTACAGAGAGAAGGAAGGAGTGAATGAAGAGAGATAATGAGGAGAGAGGGTAGACGCGGGGTTCTTCAAAATTTTAGAATTTCAGACGATTTTCGTTTCCCCCCTTTAAAAAAGCGCGTTTAAGCAAAAAAAATATAAAGCGACATTTGAAGAGGACACACATTTAAGATAAGCGCCCTCCGTGTTTGTATTTTTTTTCTTTTCTGACACTAATTTCAGGGCACGCACAAATGCGTGTCCTCTATCCTTCAAATTTTAGAATAGATGACATTATTTTTAGGGCGCGCACTTTTGCGTATCGTAACACATTGCGTGTCATTGTTTGCGCGTCGTAAAAGGATGTTTTTCTAGTAGTGACACTCTCAAAATACAAAAGCGGTGAGGGTGGTAAGCATGAAGCATTTAAAAAACCGAACTCATTAGAATCATAGAGACCTCTTTAAACCAATATTAGAGTGAGTGTGCCTAGTCTTGATCCGACGATAATGTTTTTAATTAAACATGTGATAACACTTGTGGAATAACTGTTATACATATAGTAATTATGTCATATACTAAATTTAAAACTTTTAAATTTATATTCTTCTCTTTCTGATTTAATTCACTTATTAAATAAAGTTCAAGGATATTATTTAAATTTTAAGTTCAAGTTTAAATATTAATAAAATATTCAAATTTAAATTCTATTAAACAATATTTCAAATTAATCAAAAATTTGAATTTATTAGATTTAAACAATTTAAAATAATATTTTAATCAAGAGGCTTATCCACAAATTTTCGAAAAACCTGAAAAAAAAATCTAAAATCTGAAATACCCAGCAGGCGCGCCACGTCCAGGAGAGGGCGCTCCGCGCCTTACGATAATCTAGGTTCTAGGTTTTACTAATTTTAACAACTTACTTTAAAATCAACTAAAAGAAGGATAGATTACATACCTCTTGATCATTAGATCATGTGAATGTACATCTTTTGCGTAGGATGAAGAGCCCAAAGGAGAACCCATTTAATATAGACAGACCCAAGACACCAAAAGCAAACAAGGAATAAACCCTATTATGGTTTATTCGAAAATCCCATAACCCTAGAGAGGGGTTATGATTTTCGTATATGGAGAATATACAGATAGGGGAGAACAAAAATAAGAGGCTTCAAAAGTCTCTTAGGGTTTAATCCCAAGCCCTCGGTTTATAGGCTACATATATAATCCTATATGGAATCAAACTCTAGGTTTATCCTTACTGATTCAAATCAGTTTTATCCCTAGGATATGGATAGCTCAAAACCGTCCACTCCTAACTCGTTAGGAGCTTCTACAATATTCCAATTAACCTATTGGATTACCTAAAATCCAATCCCTTTAATTAATTAAAAACAATTTAATTAATTACCAAAATAATATTTAATTAATATATTAATTCCTTAATAAGTTAACAACTTATTTTCTCCATTTCGTTAATGTTATTTGTGTCATTAGGCCAACCCAAAAGGACATTATTATTATTTAAAAAATATTACTAATTGGTTAATGATATTGAGCAACATTTCCAATAGATACATTATAGTGAGCTTCTTTTTTGGAGTTTCATAACATCTTAATCAACTTCCAATCTCACATTAGAATTAAAGACTTCAAATACTGTAATATTTTCCTTTCTATAGTTGTTTTAATTTTTCCACGATTGCAAAATCATTCAGGATGGGTTAAAATGATTTTAAGTTTATTCATATTTTAATGCTTTCATTTTCGTTATTAGAGTTTTTGGGAAAACAATTTTAAATAAAACACACCACATATTACTAAAATAAATAAATAAAACTATGCTTAGAAAACTAAGCATCTAAACGCTTCCAACATATGACAGTTGATGATAGTTTAATTTGAAAACTTTTATGGGGAAGTTTTTTGGGGAATCATTTTCTTTTTACAAAATCATAATTTAATATACAAGTTGAATATAAATGGAGAGTTCGATACACAAGTCGAATATACATACTTTAACACACGAGTTAAATATAAATAGAGAATCCAATACATAATTTGAATATACATTAAGAATATACATACTGAATATATTCAATGTTGAATATACATGAAAAATTGGATACACAAGTCGAATATAAATGAAGAATACATAAGTTGAATTTATTCAACGTGTATTCAACCGAAATTCCTTAATTGTAAATATTTAATAATCTTGTTAAATTTCGTAAGCTTCCATAATTATAAAGATCTCATAACCACGACGAAATTAATGGTTTTGTTAGTATGAATAATATACCCTTCGTATTAATCATTAGTGGTTACTAAATTATTTTAATTATTTAATTAATCAAAACTAAAAAATACAAATAATTAGTTATAATTCATATTCGCTCTTCTAACAATAAATCAAATTCTTATTTGAACTTATATATATATATATATATATATATATATATATATATATATATATATATATATATATATATATATATATATATATATATATATATATATATATATATTGTATTTTCCTGGGATTGAATTGGGCACCTAGTGGTGCGTCAGAACAAAGATGGGGATATGGTATCTATATGTATATGTGTATATATATAGAGCTGGTGTCATGATGTGTATGGAATTATAAGGTTTGGTCATACTGATGACTCATAGTATTCAAAAGAGAGAATAGAGAAGGTAATTTATAAAGGCAGTCTAGATAGGAATTTATGAATGGAGGTTTGAAAAAAGTGGGTTGTTGTGGGCCTTTTCAAATCATTTCTTGTGTAAATTATATATATATATATATATATATATATATATATATATATATATATAGAGAGAGAGAGAGAGAGAGAGAGAGGTGTTTAAATGTGAGGTATCCAACTACCCATGTAGGTGACCTTATAAAAGGTAGAAAAGGGTGTCTGGTTTTCACTTCTTTTAGAGAAAGTTATATATCCACATTTGTGTGTATTTTACAGAGAAAAAGAGAGGAGAGAGAAGATGGCAATGGGAGAGATGCAGTTAAGCCAGCTAGCAGCAACACATCTGCTTCAACACACATTAAGAAGTTTCTGCGTTCATGACAATTCTCAATGGGTTTATGCAGTTTTCTGGAGAATCTTGCCAAGAAACTACCCTCCACCCAAGTAAACCATAATTAACTTTTTTTAATTAACTTGTATATGTTTTAATCAACTTTCTTTTTAAGGTCTTTTTTGTAATAAAATAAAACTTCTAATTTTTGTCCACTAAATGAAAAAAAAAATGTTGTTCTTGTTTTGTATTATTGTTGCAGGTGGGATGGTCTAGGGGGAACATATGATAGGTCTAGAGGCAACAGGAGAAATTGGTACATTATTCTATTACCGTTTTATTATGTAATATTAATTATATATTGTCATTTTAAATGATTTCCTTCATGCTAAAAATTATTATTATTATTACTACTATCAATAATAATTCTTTGTTTTTATCTAAAATTCCATATTAAATTATTTATCTATTATATAATTAAAATTCTTAAATCCTTTAGACACTTCCTTAAAATTTTCATTAGGTGTCATTATTGTTATTGTCATTTTTATGTAAAAGTATTCTTCAATTCTAAAATACTATAAGTTTTCTTTGCTTATATTATTATTGTCCTTCTTTGATTCAACTCTATTTTCATCCACGATCTTGTGTGTTTCTAATGTCTTCATGTTCTTGATTGACTCTTCAGTTGATTATAGAACGAATATTTTTAGTCATGGATTAATGTTAAAACATTGAGTTAATCACAAACAGGATATTGGCATGGGAAGATGGTTTCTGTAATTTTGCAGCGTCGACAACAAACGAGATTAACAGTGATTGTTCGGTTTACACTGACCACGAATACCAACAATATCAAGGTCTTCAACCGGAGCTCTTTTTCAAGATGTCACATGAAATTTATAACTACGGCGAAGGGTACTTTTGAGATTTCACTCTCTTTTTCAATTTCTAGTCGTAAGCTAGCTGCATGCTGACTTATACTTAAATACATAATTAATTGTTATCGAATAATAATTGTTTTAACTTAAATATTGTCCAGATTAATTGGAAAAGTAGCTGCAGATCACAGTCATAAGTGGATATTTAAAGAACCGAATGATCAAGAAATAAATTTCTTGTCTGCTTGGAATAGTTCGGCTGACTCGGTAAGCAAATTTTCAAGATTTAAATAAAATGTTTTTTTTGTTAAGATAAGGGTATAAGTGGAGTAAGAAGAAGGTGTGTAATCAGTGTTAAGTAAGTTGTGGGTGTTTGATTGCAACAGCATCCAAGGACATGGGAAGCTCAGTTTCAGTCTGGTGTGAAGGTACATGTACATGATGGTTAATGTACAATGAGTTAGAGTCAAAAAGATTGTTGTTTAGATGTAGGTTTACTCAGAAATAATGCTTATATGTCTACAGACTATTGCTTTGATTGCTGTTAGAGAAGGTGTCATTCAACTAGGATCCGTTCATAAGGTTCTCTCTCTCTCTCTCTCTCTCTCTCTCTCTCTCTCTCTCTCTCTCTCTCTCTCTCTCTCTCTCTCTCTCTCTCTCTCTCTCTCTCTCTCTCTCTCTCTCTCTCTCTCTCTCTCTCTCTCAGCTTCTTAGAGAAGCTTTTTAAAAAATAAAAAAAACTTTTGAAAAATAAAAAAGCAATTGGAAAAAAAAATTAAAGTGAAAATTTTTCAATGGTACGGTGGGCTTTCCAACCAATTGCAAATAAACAAATGTACAAATATGACTAGTATAATAAATTTGTAAAAGTCATTCCTATTGTAGAGGATATATATAGGATACAATGAGTTTTTCATTTTAAGCTTTTTTATTAAAAAAACTTACAAAAGCTCTTTCTACTGTATATGCTGTTATTTCAAAGTTTCAAAAAGATATATAAACCCTTTAATGAAACCAAGAATCTTGAAATTTGTAATAAGGTTAAATGTATCTCGTGTAAAAAAAGGTATACAACTCTTTGCTAAAAAAAGCTTTTTTCATAGCGAAGTCAAGAAGGTATAACAATATAAGTACCTTTCTATCAAACCAAGAACCCTTGAAATCTAAAAAGAGTTTTAGATGTGTATCTCATACAATAAAACTTTTTTCGTAGCTTAAAGTCTCAAGAAGGTATATGAACCCTTTATTCAAAACAAGAAACTTGACATGCTAAAAAATGTTATATCTGTATCTCCAGCAATCTAACTTGCTCAAAGTATCTTTTAATTCGATGTCTCGAGAATATATAAAACCCCTATATATCAATAATAAGATCTTGAAATTAAGACTTGATCAACATATTAAAAATTTATATCTTGTGCCATTGTACAAAGTTCTTGTTTGGAAAAAGAAAGAGCTTCTATTAATTGAAAGTCTAGAAAACGTGTAGAAACCCTTGGTATCAATACAAGAACCTTGAATTTCAGAAAAATATCGATATTGACATCTCAAGTGATAAAAATTTCACATCTTTCTTGCTCCAAAAAAGGAACTCTTATTGTTAAATGTCTTGAGAAGTTAGAAATACCTTTTTAATACCTGAAATTCAGAAGACTATACATATATGTATCTTGTGTAATAAAAATTATACACACTGTTCTTACTATCTATAAATAGTTTTTTTTTTTAATTCAAAACAATAATCTTAAAATTCAGGAACACGTTATACTTGTATCTTATATGCAGTGTAGGATAAAAGAAGTAGTGTACTTGACTTCCAAAATCAAAATCGAAAGTCAAAATAATAATCTTTACTAAAAAAGAAAGCACCTTTTTTAGTTAATAACTAAACACTAATTTATACTAATTAATTAATCATTTCAAAAGGTGATTGAGGACCTGAACTACGTGGTGCTACTCAGAAAGAAATTCAGCTACATAGAAAGCATTCCGGGAGTCCTTTTACCACACCCATCATCTTCATCGTATCCATTTAAAGCAGAAGGCTACAACACCTCCGAAGCATGGCGTTTTCAGGGTGGTAGTTTATCAATGGCACAACAGGAATATTGCCACCGGTATAATCATAATCAACCATTGAACATAACTCCTTCAATGAGCAGTCTTGAAGCTCTCCTCTCAAAACTCCCATCAGTCGTTCCGGTTTCTTCATCATCGCCACCAGTTCCACCCTTTTGTGAGGCGGCACTGCCACAGTATGAGGCGGCAGCAAATCGGCCAATGGAGTTTTTGGGGGTGGAGGCAAAGGAGGAGGTTGAAGAGGAAGATGTGAAGGATGGTGGAGAGTGTAGCAGTTCAATGTCATCTTATAACCATGAACATTATGGCTATCATCATGATTTGAATGTAAACAATTGCATGCAAAACAATGGGTATTAATAAATAATTAAGTTGATAGTTAGGATTACTTGGTATTAGTGAAAGATTGCAATTATTGAGTGTGTTTTTGGGTTTTTAATTTCCTTGTTTATATTATGATGTTTAGTCTATTTGGTGTGTTATTATAAACTAAACAAAAACTAAAGTTAAAGAAAATCATTGTATATATATATTCTACAATGTTTGTTGGATATTACACCTGAGGGACCAGCCCTAAGCCCTTAGACATTATTGTTGACATTCTTGACATTAGCGTTTGGTGATGATTAGTTAATTGTCGGTGATTTACGAAAACTAGTGATTTTATGGTTTTTTTTAAAGATATAATTGCTATTTATATCAAAAGGTCAAATGGTTTGAATAAACTAGGTATTGGGACCGAAAACAATCCTTTTCCATTGCTATGCCTCTTCTTATTGTGTTTGGTCCCGACCTATTGGGTATAACTAGCCTTTTTCTTAAACCAGTTAAGTAGAAAACTAGTCGTTGGACCCGATTGGTCCTATCTTAAATGGTTAATGCCATAAAAACAAAGGGGTTGATGTAACATAGACCGTTGGTCCAAGCTAACAGCTACTTGTTACACTTTGATATCATTTGGTTTTGAGTGACTAGTGTAGTAGTCCATTTCAATATAATGCCCAAAACTGATATACACCGCAATCAAAGAAAAAATAAATACAACACTATTATGGGCCATTATGCAAGTACTATATATATATATATATATATATATATATATATATATATATATATATATATATATAAAAGAAGGAAATATTGAGTAGGTATGAAGGGTAAGAAGTGCATTATTTGCATAATTTTTGGTGAATCAACAAAATGAATCATTACATAATACAAAAATAATATAATTCATAAAAAATAAAAAAATAAAAAATAATTTTTTTTTGAAATAAACACATGGATGATTGATTTTTGTGATGATTCATAAAAGTTGTCCGAAAAGTGAATTAATCAGTAAAAAGGTGAATTATCGGTGTTTTTTTCGAAAATGTTTTTGCAAATCTTGTTATTTGTGTATTATCTAATGATTTATTTGGTTGGTTCGCCAAAAAAAACACGCAAATTACGCATTTTTTACAATTCCTATCGAATATTTTCTTCTTAGAAAAACTAGTATATGAAGACTTTTGAAAGATCTTGTATGCTCAAAAATCATATTAAAGTGATATTGTTAATTAACATATGATACTAATGAGTCATACTACCAACAACTTGATACAATTGATTATTTATTAGAAATTGATTTTAATAAATATTCAATAAACTCCTATACTTAAATTGGAAATTATTTATTTGTAGCAAATAATAATATACATTAGCAAATAACATTATATAATTCATATGATATGAATTCATAAGTCATGCACAACATTTTGGACTAGATAAATTCTTTTGTCTTTTACCAAAAAGTTAAAGTTTATATTTTATAAACTTTGTGTATAAAATATAAAATGTTTTGTCTTCTTTTCCTTCATATTTTCGAAATTTGGCATGACAAAAGAGAGTATGGGCTTTTCTAGTTGTTTAATCAAAAGGAATGACTTCTTGAATTGTTTATTCAAAAGACTTAAGCCTAAGCATGCATGCGTTAAGACATAAGGACATGGTTGTCTAAAGTGTAAGTAACTATTGGATGATGGCTTCACTTTATGCATTAATAGAGATGAGGCTTTTATTCCTTGTCTCTTGACTACTCCTAAAACTATAACATGGAGAGAGTGTGCATACTCTCTTTATTTGTTCATTCCTTTGGAAATTAGGTGCATCTTCATCCTTTCTTTATGTTCTTATTTTGATAAGAACATAAAACTTAACAGTCATAATAGTTTTATACAAAAGAACTAGCATTCTACATCAAGTTGAGTCATTGTTGGTGTCTCTTAAATTCATCATTCTTCATCGACTTCCAAGCCTCCCACAAGGATCTAAAGAATTACAAAGGTTATGATTTCTCCATCTTCTTCTTTGGTTGGTGTTTAATCTTTCTACAACTTGCAAGATGATCCTTGGTGGGTTTAACTTGTTTATGTTATTCAAAATATTAAGTCTTCCATTGCTAAATCTCTTGTTTTTTAAACTAGTTTTTGAATAAAATCTCAACAATTGGTATCAGAGCCACCTTGCAAGTTTGGTTAGATTTTTTTGATTTTTGGAAATCTTAGCTTTTGGAGAATATGGATGTCTTGGTTTTGTATAAAAACAAGTTCATATATATTTTCTATGACAACTTTATAATTGTTATTTTTTATGTGACAAAAGTTTCACGCATCTTTGTCATTTAAAGTTGTCATAGAAAAACAAAGGTTGTTTAATGTGTATGTTGATATGTATGATGTGCATAAACTAGCCAAGCACCATTGATTTTGTTGTGTTGTTGTGTTTGTTTCTTTTTATTGTAGAAATGATTGTAATAATTTATTTATTCATATGATATGTAATAAATTAAATAGATTAGTTTTTTTGGTTTATTTTTGTAAGTAATAGATTAGTTTTTAGAAATAATTTATTTGTACAAAAATATAACAAGAAATGAAGTTGGAGCCATTTTTAAGACCAAAGAGCAATTTTCGAGTTTAAGAGCATGATGAAAGTTAGTGACAGTTTCTAAAAAAGTGTCACTAATGTTGTTTCCTAAGGGTTTTTAGACTTTTAGCGATAGTTTTTGAAATATTGTTTTCAAGAAGCTTTTCCAACCTTTTACAAGCAATGAGTGTTTTCTCAAGTGGGAGCTTTTACAACAACATTACAATAAGATTTTTGGTCCCTTAAAATATCCCTTTAGGAATGGACTTGGCATTTTTTTGTGTTGGCTCACAAAAAAATGGCATTAGTTAGTTATGTTTATGCACATATATTTTATGCATGTTTGTGTTGTTTATTTTATGCAATTATTATGTGTGGTTGATAAATTAGTTTTTCACATGTTAAAATATTTTTTGGAAAAAATAAACATCACATGAAGTTTGGATTTCAAAATTTATAATGTGGACATAATATGTAACAAGTTATTGTTTTAAAATAAAATCTGGTTTTATAAAAACGTTAATAACGTCAAATTTTGGAATACTCAAATATAAATTTTAAAATAGTATTTTTTTTTTGTAACTAATACAAACTCCAAATGTATAAGAAATAAAAGAAGTTTTAGTAAAGATATAGAAGGTTCAAATGCAGTCACCGATTATTAAAATTGATTCAGGTCAAATTATATAAAAACTAGTTTTTATATAGAACCCTTAAAAGTGATTTTCTTTTTGAAAATTGATACTATGGTTTATTATATGCATGTAATAACCATGATATCATATGTTTTTAAAACTATAATTATAAAACATATAGAAGACCCTTTTACAAACCTCAAATCTATGCAATCCATTTGAAGAACACTCACACATCTCTTGTATGCACTAGTAGATAAAGGTCACCTAACCGCTTAGTGTTATCTTTTGATGGTCGGGGTGTCTTCGCAATTTCTATAACCAAGTTATAGGCCGATTACACAAGTTTCTTCAAATTGGATGATTTGATCGGAAATCTTTTGTGAAAAATGATACCTTAGCAAAAGAGGTCTGAGGCATATATGTGATCAAACATGTCTAATTAAATTTGTTATTATCGATCCCATAAATCTACGAATCATATAGTAAAATATAATTGATAATTGATATCTACCGGGTTGAATTCAAATTGATGGGATAAAGGATATCTAACCATTTATTTGTTTTGCAATGTGGATTCTAGACTTTGATAATTAATGTTTTTGGAAACTAAAAGGGTATAAATTATTAAAGAGTTTAAATATTGAAAATACTAAATGAATTTTGATAAAATTTTGTAGTTAAATAATCCATTCTCATTACAATGAAATTGTCATAATGACTTAATGAAACAATAACATTCAATAGATACAACTTCAATGAATGGGTTCATGTGTTAAGAGACAATCTCGTGACAGATATGAAATTGTATACACTTAAAGGTCCTAGTCCTAAACTATTTGCCTTGAGCAATGAACTTGAACATGATACCTAGTAAAGGCATCACTGTGATGCTAAAGATGCTTCTAACATCAAACTAGGAATAGGTCAAGGCCAAAAGGAATCACCTTGTGTGCTGTAGGAGGCCCATGTTTTATGGATTGAACATCTTTAAGCCCAAGAAATCCTATAAGGCTCACATAGATGGATCTTGTTTCTTTTGTGGAGAAACTGGACACTGGAAGAGGATTTACTCCTCTTATCTGGAAAGAAAATCTGGAAGAGACTAGTACTTCAAGTATCTACTAGATAGACCTCATACTTTTCATATTACACTTAGGTACTTGGTACTTAAATGTTAATCTAATATTTGTAATTGGCTTGCAAATATTTACAGAAGAGTAACCAGTTGAGCATAGTCAAGTTGGAACTACACTCTTGCATTTTAGTTTATTAATTATGCTAGGAACAAAATGTAATTGTAATATAAAACAATGTTTGTATTGGAAGAATGTATGTTTTATTTTATCTTGCCTAAATATATGTCTCGATTTAACTCATGAATGATTTACTATTTGCTTAAATCGTTTTCATAACGATCACCTTCATATTCAGAAATGATTAAAATTCTTTTTATGAGACTAGATCTCTTAACAAGAATTATAAAGTAATATCAATGTTTTATAAATAACAAGTTCTATATGCAAAATACTTTTGACTCAAACTTGTTTTAAATCAAACTCATCTTTGACATTGTTATCTTTACTATATAAATGACATTCGCATATTAAAACTTCAAGAAAGGGATCCTTGAAGGAAAATAATGTAGTTTATTTGACATATGTAAATCTTATTTATATATAAAAGATTCCTAATGAAATTGTCACTAAGTAGTAGAGAAAATAATTATTATTTAATGAACTATACACTATGGTGTATGACTTGCTTTCTAATGAATGTCTAAGATTTAGCACAAGAAACCAAATTAACTTTATTAACAACTATAGTAGTTATAAATTGTATTTTATATGGTAAAACATAATTATGAAACCTTTGTTTAAGTTTTAAAATATA